GGTGAGCTTCCCTAGGGAGAGAGTACAGAGGGACGGTGACAACCCACCTGAAGGGGAGGAACTGGAGCAGAGGAGAAGCAGGGAAGGAAAGGGACAGAGAAATGAAGGGAGAGCAAAAAGTTTCTAGAAGGAAGAAAGTGCCAGCAGGGTTATGTGTGGCAGAGGGGCCCTGTGAGATGAAGGCTAAGAGTGCCATTAGATTTTCCACATAGAGGTCTTAGGTGATCTTGGCAAGGACAGCGCATGGTTTATTGGGACAAAAGTTCAACTAGAGAGGACTGGCGGGAGAGTGGGAAGTGAGGAGGAGGAGACATTGAATGTGGATGTCACATAGAAGGAGCTGCTTGGGCAGGGGAGGAGAGATGGAGCTGAATGCTACGAGAGGACACTGGGGCAGGCCTGAAGGGAAAAGACTAAGGCTAAGGCCAGGTCAGACCAGGCTGCCAAGAATCCCTGGAGTCTCCCCTGCTGTGGGGACCAGCCCCACCCTTAGTACAGTCAACTAGGGAGAGGACATGACCTCAAATCTCAACTCTTCACAGGATAGCCTATATAGTAGCAGTAACAGTAGCAGCAGTAATAGTAATTGTTAGGTGCCATCGAGTTGGTTCTGACTCACAGTGACCCCTGTGTACAGCAGGACATCCTGCCTGGTCTTGGACCATCCTCACAATCATTGCTATATTTGAGCCCATTGTTGCAGCCACCCATTGTTTCTTTTTCATGTGCTGAGTATTTTATATGTATTATCTCATTTAATCCCCACCCTCAATTCTGTGGAGCAAATACTGTTTTCACATCCCCATTTCACAGCTGAGAAACACTAGGCTTGGAGAAGCTAAGCATTGTGCCCAAGACCACACAGGGAAGTGTCAGAGCCAGGTACCCACCTGAGTGAGTGGCTCCAGAGCCCAAAGAGGAACTGGCATCAGCATGGACAGAAGCGGGGTGATTTCCTGCAGGAGTGAGGGTTGAGCAGGTGTGGATCGGTTGATAGGGCCTGAAGAGAAGTGTAGGGACAGATTATTGTGGTGGCCTAAGGAAGGACGTGGGCAGTTGCTCAGGGATGACTGATTAGAAATTATTGATGCACTTATTTTTACTGACGTCCCCCTTGCCTGCCTTCTTGTACTGCAGTCATCATTTCACATGGCACAGAAAGGCAGAACCCTGGCCTTGTTTCCTCAACCTCTGCCTCTGGTCATGGCTCTGCACACGTCACTCTCCCACCTACAAACACCAGCTTCCTGCTGCTGGGGAGACCAAGCCCATCTTCAGGTTGATGGGCAAAAGCCCCTTGTGATGTGATCTGGCTCCTCTTCCTCCTTCTACCACTCTACCTATGAACAGGCTGCTAGGAGGATTCATAGCCTCACCTCTCAAGCAGTACTGCTCCTTCTCTGTGCTCCCAAGGGCCACTTTTTCATGCCCCTGACTTCACGTCCCTGAGTAACACAAACATCTTGTGTTCTGCTACTAACCTAAAGGTTGGTGGTTCGAACCAACCAGCAGTACCACAGAAGGAAGGCCTGGTGGGCTTCTTCCATACAGATTTTAGCCAAGAAAACCCTATGGAGCAGTTCTACTCTGTAACACATGGGGTTACCATGAGTTGGAATTGACTCAGTGGCATCAGGTTTTGTTTGTTTTTGGTTTGAACTGCATGCATTCCAGTTGTTTACCTCCAGGCTGACCTGGGCACCTTGACCACACCCTGTGAAACTTTCTCTCTAGCATCTGGAGGTGCTTGATTCACACGTCATTCTAGGGGAAGCCACCATTGGTCCTGAACCTCAGTTCTTCAGGGGCAGCTCCATTTCTGGCATTGGCATTGACCAGGAACATGATTTAAAGGGGGGGGGGTGTTTATTCAATAAAGGACAGTGTTGCCCTCCTGTCTGAGGCTCCTTGGAAACAGTACCTGACAAGCCTGTGAACTGAGTACATTAGAGTCTTCTGGAGTTAAATTTGGAAATGGGAAGAGGTAGGAAAAATCTATGCTCATTGAATACAAAATGCAATTGTCTGCCTGTGCAGGAACTGAAATATCTGCAGCAAATTATATTTAAGGCTCTATTGTCACAGGCAGATTAGCTAATGCTTGATTTTAAGTATAGGCTTCTAATGCTATTACTCCTGGTTAACTTTGCCTGGCAGGTAACCTTGTGGAACAAATGAGTGCATTGCTTGAATAACATATTTGATCAAACAGGACAATTCTTTGAAAAATTGAGTTCTCTGTGGCAATTTAAGACCTGTAATCAGCAAATTAGATGATTACAGCAGGGATAAAAATAGTCTTCTAACAATGTCCAAGGTATAAATGTGATTTGAATTTCAAAGTGCTGAACATGTGGTAGGAGAATGCACGGTGTGTAAATATGACTAGACGGTGTCAGATTTGATTTCTTTCTGTCCCTGTTCTAAGCTATAGCCTAGTTTTGCTGGAGTGAACTTGGGTCCCGTTTGTCTGGGTTAGAGCACAGAAGGGCATCACCTATTCTACTCCAAGTGTTAAAGGGCTCCACAACCCTGTACCTCCCTCAGAAACTGAATCAATAGGAAGCTCCTCATCATTTATCCACTTGGTGTGAAACGGCTCTGATGAAATGTCAAAGCTCCTCACAGGGAAGACAGCGTTGGGAACCCTTCACTAGGTATCATCTCAGGGCCTTGTCCTTTCTTAGGCACAGGGGGCAGAGAACTAGCAACCCTGGTGAGGTCTAGTGAGCTAGTTCTGAGGACTAGGGCATGACAGTGTGGTATGTTCCACCACAAACCAGTTAGTCCCCGGTTGGTGGTATGTTATTCCCTGGAACTGTTTCTTAACCTCTACAAGGAAGTTAAGCTATGGGGCCCCATGTCACCTCCCTTCTCTAGTTTTCCCTGATGATACATCTCTGCCTTGGCATGTTTGCCCAGGTTGACTTGGAGCTGTGATTTTCACTTCTGAGGTCTCCTGTGGTATTGTTGGGCCTCAGCTAGTTTTAGCTGAAGAACAAAAATGGCTTGGCAAATGGGTATGGAGACTCAACCCAGCAAGGAGCCAAAATTAGCATTTGCTAGCAAACAGAGGAAACTCCCTTAAGAGTTAAAATCTGATTTTTACTTATTAGTGGGTTTTAGACAGAGCTGTGGGAAATAACTGATTGCTATGGATTTCATGTATCCATCCTGGACTTACCTTTATTAGCACAGAGGACTAAGAGCTGCCTGTAACAATACTATTTTAAAATTCTGATTTCCAGAAATGGAGCACCAGTAATTAAAATGTAAGGCAGTTTTCATTATATTCATTAACATTCTTTACAATATGATAGTTTGCCAATATATTTACCTCAAACACGTTTTCCAACCGGTTTATGTTACATTTGTCAAGCTCTCAAACATGGTAAAACTTTGAAAACAAATGTTTTTGGTACCATATTTTTCCACAGAAAATGCCAAATGTAATCATCTTTAGGATTTTGCCAAATCACACTGCTTTTTAAGGTGAGAGCATCTCTGCCTGAGATGAAGAAACAATTAGCTAGTTGTATCAATTTGACTAAAAACCATTACATATGGATTTATAATGCATTTATTAGGAAAAATGTATTAAAACTTGCCAGAACTTTAATATCACAATGTCAAAAAAGTAGGGTCTGTCTCCAACTTCATAGATAGTACAGATTTAAAATTACTTTAAAAACAGATTTTTGTAAAATGAGATGAAATACCAAACTGAAAAGAAGTGGCATTTGCTCATTTGCCTCCCCCCCCCCCACTTAGCACCCATACACATATCAAAGCATCTTGAGAAAATGAAACAAGACATGACAAGACCACCTCTTTGAAGATGTTTAACAAAATCTGATTTGGGCTATACACATTGGGCCTCAAAGTGGACGGCAACCTCTTCCAAAGAGCAAGGCACTTACTTGGTGATTTGATCAACCATCAGGAAACAGATTTTATACATTATGGCCTTGAACTACATAAATTTTTACTTTATTTTCTTCTTAAAAGTATAGTTTTAGGCTACCATGTTAACAAGTTCTCCCAACTAAAATTCATATATTTTTTAGGTTAAGATTTGGATAAGGGCAGAGTATTAAATAACACTAATTACAGAATGATTATGTCCTTTAACATGTCCTAGGAAAGAAATTAAACCTAAGGATCCTCTAAGATGACTTCACCAGTGCTTCAGTAGCCAGCCAATGAACCTGATCTGAGCAGCCACTTGCACAGGGCATTGTGGGACAAATGCACAACTGAGCCTCATTCCCAGCTCAGGGGCCCCCAGGAGGCAGACAAGATTGCACATGAAGCTCATTTCAAAGGTTTTCTTTTAACTGTACTTGCTTGAAAGACTTAAGCTTCAAGAGGCATTAAGTCAAAAAGGAGAGCTTATACAGCCACAGTGAAAGGTGACTTCTAACTTAAATTATCAGACATAGCTCATAAAACCAGCTGTCTCAAAGACAATATTGCCTTTATTAAAAAACGGATAGACATAGCAGCACGTACAAAATAATAGTTCATAAAAGGCATTGTACATTTCAACTGATAGTGTGACGAGCAGGTCCCCGGCACAGCTGGTTGCAGGCTCTGTATCACAATGCTCACAACCACCTGGTTCTACTTATAGGACATGGCCCAGAACACCTAAGGGGAGACCAACAGAAACAGTGGCACTCCTCAACTTCAAGCTTTGTTCTTTGTGTGAATAGTCAATCAAGTCAAGTATCACCCTCCTTAGCAGCATCTGGAGCACTCATTGGTGTTCTGGAGGTGGCTGGTGTACTTGACCCATTTATTTTAAAAAATCTAAGCATTCAACAAAATACATTTCTCCCTGTCCAATGCCATTACAGAAACACTTCTGTTAAGGAAGAGACACACTCCTCCACTTAAATATCTGGGAAAGCTAATGCACGCCTCTGCTGCAGCAGACAGAAGAGAACTCTGAGCAGGCACTTCCGTGCAAGTGTCTTTGGTGGAGAATGCTGGTATGGTCACACTGTTTCTTGCCCACTGCTCTGCTTCTTACTGCTCTGTGGAGGGGTGAGGACCCCACTGGGGAGAGGAGAAATCCTACTTTGTTCAGATAATATGGCTTTCTTTGCTTGGGCTTTGTCCTATTGAAAAGAATAAAAAGAGAAATGTTACAAATGAGAAGAAAGTACCCTTTCGGCTTTCCTAACTATATTCTTTTTCTATGAAGTGAGTGAAAGAAAAAATAGTGAAGAATAACCTAAAATTGCCAGGTCTACACAATGCATAGAGAAAGCAATAGTTATGGACCAGAACTTTTCTTTTTCAAGGAATCAGAAGAGCTAGAGGTCTACTAGGCTATCAGGAAAGTGGAAAAGCTGTTTAGGCAGTTTTATGAATTTGCCTGGGAGAAAGGACTGCAACAAGGAACAGAACTGACCAGCAAATCCAAGCTGTTTATATGAGTCTGTATGTTGTGTGCATCTTCAGCGGGAACCCCTCCGAAGTGCTTAAGTTTTGAACTTCCTGTCTCCCTTATAACCATGGCAAATGGAACCATCCACTTGACACACTTCTCTATATCATACCACTGGTACCCTGAAATGAAAAGAAATTTTAGATTCAATCTGAGGTGGACAAGTGGTTTGTAAGTTCAATATACCTTGCGAACTCACTGGAAAGCCAACGTACCAGAAACCTTTTGCATCAATTCAGATGATGAGAAATGATATAAGGCAGAAGCAGCAAGCACACCGTAAGAAAATTCTAAGCAGCCAACATCCAGGACACAGAGATCTAAAAGCTGTGGAAAAGAGAAGAACAATGAAGCAGACAGCCAACACAAATCCCTTCTAGAGTTACCAATCTAACTGCAGGGCAGGTAACCCCACAGAGGTGATGGGCCTACTTACTTCTGCAATCTGTATGAAGATTTGCTGGGGATACTGTGGCAATAGCACTTCATATAAGTCATTTAGATATGCAACTTGCATGTACACATTCAGCCAGGACACAACTGTCAGGGGACTTAAATGCCACTTTAGGGCCTACAGGAAAACAGAAAAAAGCCCAATGGTTGAGAAAAGAGGAGGAAACAGCATTCCCTTAGTCCTCTAAAGGAGTTCAAAACACAGCTATGTTCTGTGCCACAATGTGTCCAGCTGGAGACCACCTCACCAGATTCACTCACAGTTAATGTGGAAAAGATATTATGTATGCATTTAAAACTGACTGGAAAATTAACTTGTAACTTACCTTCATAATGACTAATTCCATGTTAAGAATGTCATCTCCTGTACAAGCTCCATCTGTAACATAAGCAAACTGGTGCAACTTTGGAGGATAGATTTCCTAAAAGGAAATAGAAAGCAGTCACAAAAACTCAATCCCTACTACTTTTAACATCTCAAAATCTTTTATGGGCCCTGGCTGGAAGGAAAGGGAAGAGGGTACACTGATAGATTAAATACAGGAGCTATTCCAGACATCGAAAATGTGTTAATTGTGAAAGAAATCAAACCCCCAACCCAAACAATGACAACAACAAAAACCCCTGAACTTTGTTTCATTTACTCATCAGGAATATATTTGAAAATTTCATCTTTTCAATGGCTTTACCAGTATGTTTGAAGGCTAGGCTCATACACCTTCTATAAAACCAGAAACCAAACCCGCTGCCATCGAGTTGATTCTGACCTCTAGCTATCTCCATCTGGTTTCCAAGGCTATAAATCTTTACAGAAGTAGATTGCTTCATCTTCCTCCCATGGAGCAGCTGGTGGATTCAAACCGCCTACCTTTGGTTAGCAGCCTTAACCACAGGGCCACCAGGGCTCCATACCGTCTATAAGCACACCAAACTTTGAATACTCTTAAATCAACTAACATCCAAACAAAATTTCTAAGCCAAATGCAAGTTTCCACAGCATGGAGACCATATTCTAAATATACTATCCCTGTTAACAAGATCAAAGTTCAATTTTTTGCTTAAAGTAACTATACTAACTTAAGCATTTTATATATACATTCACTCCTTCTCTGGCCATTTTTGCATGTGTAAACTTTAAAAGGACTCACATTAGAATATATGTAGGGCATATATAATAGACAATATGCTATAAGCAGACTCTAGTGGCACAGTTCTACTTTATCCTCTAGAGTTATGTAAGTAGGAATCGACTCGATGGCAGGGGGTCTGTATCACAGACGAATAGTCAAACCTTATCCCCTCAACTCAATAAAAGTCAAGAAACAGCATGTGCTATGTAAAAAACATTTTTAAATGACTTACCTCAAGTTTGGCAGCAATAAATAAAGATGAAATTCCAATAAGCTGTAGAAGTGTTTTTACAACATTTTGTTGGGTTGCCATATACCGATCAAAGAAATCTTGTGCCAAGTAAAATGTCTCCCTGTGAAGTTTATACACTTCACACACCTGGGAGGGAAAAATAAGTAAGGTTTAGAACAGTTAACAGGGGGGTTAAAAAAAAAAAAAAGCACTTGTCATGAATTTTGGTGAAGGACAATATAACCACATCAAGAGAAAGAACTTTGCTTTTCTGAAAGGATGGTTACCTTGTTTGTCCCTAGGGAACTCAGATATAAGAATTCAGTGTTCTGTGGTCTGTGTAATAGTAAGAACAAATGTTCACAGGGCTAGGGAAGGAAGATGCGTTCACAGAACGCATTTTCAGGGAAAAACATTATGAATTCCCTCAAAGAACAGCCTCCATCTTTGTAAGTTTCATAATGAGTCAAGAAAAGAACTAGTATTACTTCCCACAACTGGGCAATTTTAGTAAAAATTTAACACACATTTAAAGACTATAACATGTACACAAGACTTTAAATCACAATAGACAACAACTGTTTAAAAGAGCATTAAAAAGACCTAGAGACCCAGGTTCTAACTTTCGGTAAACCCACTTAGATACATCAAATGAGAAAATTTGGACAATAGCTGCCTTGCCTACCTCACAGTATTGCTATGAAGACCCAGTGAAATAGCGCACATGATCAAGCTGATAAGGATCCAGAAAATAGTTAGACCTCACCTCTCCATCACCAAATATTTCATTATACATGTAACATTCTACACTGATACTTTCATTACTAATCAGGATGTCTAATGAGTGCAACTCAAGGGATGGATTAATAAATAGAAAAAGAGCTAGAGAAACAATACAGAAAACATTAAGAAAATTCCATCAATTACCAAAGACTATTTCTAAAGTGTAGGTTAAGTCCTATTACATTTAGCTTCAGTTTTTATAAAGTAACACAAGTACAATCTGACTAAAACTGAAACTAGAACTTCTGTTCTCTGAGGAACAAACTCTCAGACCTATTTCACTCAGCCCACAATCTAGCACGTTGCATGAACACCACCATTATGTTGCACAGACTTCTCAGGAGGGTTAGGCGTTAAGAAACTTAACATCACTGCAGACGAGGATCCCTGTGAATTGCGGACACCAGATTTGTTCCACAAAAGACAAAGGTAACCATTCTTTTTTATCCTCAACGGTATTAGATGACTTTTTTGATTGCCTTTAAGAAAAACATTTCTTCAAAGCATAATGGCATCAATTGCATTATAAAGTGGAACCTTGCAGTCTTTAATGAGAATGAACTGAAGCCTCAGAGATTAAAACATACTATACCTGATGCTTCAAGAAACTATGAAAGTTCCAAAGGGCACAGAAGGGCTATATGATGTAGGGTGGGGCTGTGGTGGGCAACTCCAGGGCCTGCAGTTTAAAAGCAGGCCTGCTAAGTATGCAGTACAGAAAATGTTGACATTCTCAGGGGGCAACAAAGAAAAGCAAACTATGTAAGCTACATTCTGAATATAGCATTTTCAATCCTAAAACTCAGCTAGGAAAATATTGCTCAGAAATATTACAGATGAGAAAACTAAGACTCAACATTAAATAACTTGTCTGGCTAGGGGCACACAGGTGGTTAGTGGAGATGGGGAATTTGATTCTAGGACTAGTAAAACTAGAGAACACATGAGGCTGTGAACCACTGAGTTGACTCCGACTCAGAGTGATCTTACAAGACAGAGTAGAACTGCCCCATAGAGTTTCCTAGGCTGTAATCATGGGAGCAGATTACCAAGTCTGTTCTCCTGTGGAGTGGCTGGTGGGTTCAAACCACTAACCTTTCAGTTAGCAGCTGCACACTTAACCATTGCACCCTGGGAATACAGGCTTTTCTAAGGGTACACAGCAAAGCTTTTAGGGAGTATTTAGAGTCTCAACTTCCACATGTACTCTTTCATGAAACAGACCCGTCTGAGATACTCTTCCTCTACTTCGCAGAAGAAAAGCCCACTTCTCACTCATGCCAAGTCTTACAATGTTTATCTGGGAAACCTCCCTTTACACTATAAGCCACCTATAATTCATTCCAGAAAGGAGTGCACTGCCAATAAAATTTTAATTTTTATGTTTAGTAATTATCTGCCAAAATGTATAGTACTTATTATTCTGATCAACTGCTGCAGAGAAGTATAAGGTAGCCAGTTAAAGGTTTGGATGATGTATTTTGTTAGGATAAAATTCTGTGGGGGAAGGGGAATGGACTTTAAGGAATAAAAAGGAACAATGTAAGATTTCTGGCTGTTAAAGATATGATGGTTCACATATTATTAAAATTTATGACCATGGCTATCAAGTAGCTGACACCTGCATTCCATTGAATACATTTAAAGCTAATTTAATTAGCAAAGATCAATTATCAATAATTACAATACAACAAACATATGAAGAAATGCTCACGATCATTAGCTATTAGAGAGATGCAAATCAAAACAACAATGAGATACCATCTTGCTCCAGCACTAGAATTTATAGAAAACTCCAACACCTCAATAACAAAAAGACAAAAAATCCAATTAAAAAATGGGCAGAAGACATGAACAGACACTTCACCCAGGACGATATTTAAGTGGTCAACAAAAATATGAAGAAATGATCACGATCATTAGAGATTAGAGAGATGCAAATCAAAACAACAATGAGATACCATCTTGTTCCAGTACTAGTAGCAAAGTTCAACAAGACAGAAAATAATAAATGCTGGCAAGGTTGTGGAGAGATTGGGACTCTCATACACTGCTGGTGGGACTGTAAAATGGTAATACCATTGTGGAAAGCAGTATGGTG